TGGTACGTGGGGGGGATTCCAGTTGCCACCATGTTAGTTGCAGGGTTGTGCAAGTTGCCCACATACACGTTTGGCACTAGTGCGGTCAGTATCCCGGACACCCAAGCAGGGGAAAAAAATAGGGGGTGCGAGGGATGGAGAGTCCTGTTCAGCCAATCGTGATGGTGCACCAATGAGGCCAAGAGAAAAGGGATGGCTGAGCGAAACGACGGGGGATAAAACGTGGAATATCCTGGCAGGATTTGTTCCCACTGCGCGGGCGTAACGACTGCCATGTTGCCAAAATGGGGGGGCAAAATACCGAACTCGGCATCGTTCACATTGAGGCCTTACATTAAAAAATATTTAATATATTATTCACATAATCTAATAATTAATATTTTGGCATTACCTGTTGCTGCGCGGCCAACAAATTGGTCTCCCCCTGAACCCTCGAAAATGTACTGACCTTGTACACTGCCCAAACTCCACCCCGCACGGAGCCAGATCGACACTGCCTGTGGGCCCCCAGGACAGTTGGACAAAGAATTGGCCACACCTTTGCGAAAGAAGTGAGTGCCAATATCCTCAATGGCCAAGCCCATCGACACGATGTCGTTTTCAGAGTTGGAACACGTGTTGCGGAGCCAAGTTGAGAAACGTTCCTTGGCATTGTAGCCGAACAAGAGGGACGGCGAGCTTGAGAGGTTGGCGCCACGAGTAAACAGCAACACGCCCAAACTAATGAAAACACAATATATTTAGCACGCACAAAATACAACTAACTATATATATCTCAGCACAGGGCAAATTTCAGGGTTCAATAGGTTGGCGTACACATGCCTTGCGAATGACATCTGGCCGTCTTGGTCATTCTTCATTGCACCGTACTGAATTTCAAGTGCGTCGTCTACAATTTGTGAGAATATATTATTAATATATGAGTGCTAAGGCTGAGCTGCATACTTTTCCATGACACATGCTCGTATCGAAGCGTGGACGCTGAAACAGCTCGTGCCATCAAGTTCCAACACACACCCAAGAACGAATGAGGTGTGATGTGCAATGCATAATCTGTTTTGGATGTCAGTGCAGCGGCCGCCAAAAACCGATAACCTAACAACAATTAATATATATACTACCATACAAGAAATATTCTACCCGCCACAGAAAGGGGTGCCTTTCCAACTGTCATGGGCACTTCACCGGTATCCTTGAGCTGGGCATACTTTCGTTTGTACCCGCTAACGAAATCTATGATCACGGACTATGAATATAAATATTAATGAATATGATATTGTTGACAAAATGCAATGCAGCATCTTACCTTTCATCATGTTATGCATTTCGACGCTAACCTCAACACCTGACTCTTTGTGCAAGAAGAGTACTGAACTCTTCAACCGATTGACAGTCGACACTGAGTTATACTGTCGTGGCACAAGTTCGCTGCCGTCTTTGTGTCGTTTCAGTGATGCGTAGGAGAGCATAAGCTTGCCTGCAGCAAGAGAGACAGGTAGGACCAGCACGCCGTGCTCAATGTACTCGGGGTGCTCCCGTTCAAGCCACCTCACAAGCCTGGTTATGATGGAGTCGTACTGTAGTCTCGTGTCTGCAACTATGCGCAGGGCTATCACATCGTCTGCCGTCTCATCCGTGGAGCTGGCGTTCCTTGCGGTGCGCTTAGAGCGACCCATTTCAGTTTTCGGACTGATCGATAAATCTTCCGGTTAATCTACTACTAGTACCTAAGGTATGCTTGTTTCGCGATTGTTTCGTAAATCACCATACATCTAATATACAAGTAATCGCATACAAATCTCAAGATAGCGAGAATTAGATATATTGGATTTACGAAACAAAAACGTTTCGTGATTGCTAGTTGTCTGGTGTATTTTGTTTCGTGTTTGTTTCGTAAATCGTGAATACTTATTATTATACTATATACTGTAACAGCTAATATTTAGTTCTGTAGCCTATATGTATATATATTAAATATTGCATGTGTGGAGAGAAAGTCGATCGTTTTTGAGCTTACGTACTGTGAAACGGTATACTCAACCATTGGCTAAAACAATATTCTTTTTTTCAGCCAATTATAGTGTTTTGTGCCTCTCACGCTGATGCCATTGGTCAGCAAGACAAATTAGGCAACAGCACAAAAAACCACGTACAACTAACTACACTTGACGATGTCAACCAACGCGACGACACAAACAACCGTGGGTGAGGCTGGACCTGCCTCCAGCACCTTCAACGCCGGCTACCTCGTGCTGGTCATTAGTGTCGCCACTGCCGCCACGGCAGTATACTACTACTTGAAGTGGAGGTCCAAGTACTACGACCCACTCCTGCCCAATGAGTAAGGGCCTCCTCCACCTGTGGTGTGTGGACTCATGCTTTACGCAGGGTGGTTGGAGATTTGGAAGGACACACGCGAGATAGCTTGGAGGACAGGTGGGCTGCCACTGCATACATATTATATCGATGTCGGCGTCATGGCATGTTGCTGTATGTAGCGCCGTGGAAGCTACGAAATGGACATGCGGCGTATGCGATTTTCACAACGCAGTCGACCAAAGCTCGTGTCTCTTGTGTGCCACAGCCCAAGGTACATATACTCGCACGCAACAATAACCTTGTATTGGCCCTTATATGTTTATATATCAGGTGTGTATGTGTTGGAATCACCAGCATTTGCCACTGGCACCGGCACGACCGTTCGTGAAGATCAACTGAATGCTGTTCAATCCTGTGCAAGGTACAATGCATCCTTTGTACATTTTCTTGCTATATATGGACATATTCGTAGACGACGCAAGCAGTGGCGACGACATCGAGACGCCGCCACTGGAGTTTGGGAATGGGTCACCGATATCTCGACGTCCCAACCACACTATTTAGTGGTCACGTCCTCCTTATCCCATCAGATTGAATGGTCGACGTTGGCCCGAGCGTCGGCAGGGATAGACGTCCTCGGCCACCACCTGCCTACGTGGTGGTCGCACGTGTTGGACCAGCTACGCCAGGAACCATTCGCCTTCAAATATGCGTGGCTGGTGGGGCATCTCAATGCTACCTACACTGGCCACGTCAAGTTTACCGTGACTCGGGCTGGCATTCTGGAAGAATCCCTCCAAGTCCTGAGTCAGTTGCCGCGGCACCAGCTGTGTTCGTTTACGAGCATCGCGCTGAGGGGCGAAGTTGCACTTGATGCAGGGGGCGTTGCACGAGAGTGGTACACGTTGCTCTCGAACGCCATTTTGGACACAAGTAATGGGCTGTTTATGGTCTCCAACAAGGACGACCAGTCGTTCTTTATCAATCCCAACTCGGAAAGAGACCACGGCCCCAACCACTTGGCAGACTTTCAAGCGGTGGGAAGGCTCCTGGGGAAAGCCATCATCGACGAGCAAATGCTGCCGTTTCACTTTTGTGTCCCGCTGTTCAAGATGTTGCTGGGGTACCCCGTCTCGATCGAAGACGTTCGGTACTTGGACCCGACCGTGTATTCGAGCTTGACCTACATTCGCGACTGCGATGACGTGGACGATTTGGCGCTGACGTTCAGTGTGAGTGTGGACACGGATGTACCGGAAGTGGAGCTGGTGGTCGGGGGTCGGGACGTGGGGGTGACCAACGCCAACAAGGCCGAGTACGTGGAGAGAATGGTGCAGTACTTGATGTTTGAGCGCGTGGCGCCGCAGCTGCAGCGGCTGGTGCAGGGTCTGTACGACGTGTTGCCCCAGGAGCTGCTCATGCCGTTCGACTACAAGGAGCTGGAGCTGATTTTGTGTGGGTTTTCAGAGATCGACGTGGGTGACTGGAAGCGGTCCACGATCGTGTCCAAGTCGCTCGAGGACGTCGTCGGGTGGTTCTGGGACGTTGTCGAGTTTGACATGACGCCCTCTGACCGGGCCAAGCTGCTCCAGTTCACCACTGGGTCGTCCCGCGTACCCCTCCAAGGCTTCCGTGGGTTGACCAGTCACGACGGCCAGCTGTGCCCGTTTTCACTACATGGCGTCAAGTACCATCCGCAGGAGTTGCCCAAGGTCCACTCGTGTTATAACCGCATGGACCTGCCGATTTACCCCACGCGAGAAGAGCTTCGAAGTGCACTGTTCTTTCTCGTTTCGATTGAAGACTTGGTGTTCACATTGCTGTAACTTGGAAAACAGTGCGCTTGTACTATTAATACAGTACCAGTATTGTGATTTTGGATACTTTTGATGGTTGAGGTTCAAGCTGAAGTTGTGATTGGTCATAAATATACTAACGTTAAATATAT